GGAGTGGGGAGGGAATGGTGATTTTACAGTATCCTCCCTCTGGAGTGGGGAGGGAATGGGGATTTTACAGTATCCTTCCCCCTGGAGTGGGGAGGGAATGGGGATTTTACAGTATCCTTCCCCCTGGAGTGAGGAGGGAATGGGGATTTTGCAGTATGCGTCCGCTGGAGTGGGGAGGGAATTGAGATTTTGCAGTATCCTTCCCCTGGAGTGGGGAGAGAATGGGGATTTTGCAGTATCCTCCCTGGAGTGGGGTGGGAATGGAGATTTTGCAGAATCCTTCCCTTGCCCTGCCCACCAAGCCATGCCACGCCCACAGAACCGGTATTAAAAAATTGCAATGCATTCATGCACACATCGGAAAGCTGAGCTTCCAGTTTCCAGCATGCACGTGCACTCCAGCCAGCTGTTCTTCACACGCAGATGCACGCCAGAAACAGGCCCACTAGATGACTGGCGCACATGCGCATGCTGGAAACTGGAAGCTCAGCTTCCCAGTGTGCACATTCGTGCCGGGGAATTACTCTTCCATTTTCCAGTGCTCCAGTTTTGGTTCATGGTGCTGAAAAGATTTTCCAACACTGCCTTAAGTTATATTCTAGATTTTAGCCCTCCTGGGGAAGGATAAAAAAAGTCTACTTTATGCTGCATTTTACCCACAAGATCACACCCCAAACACTGGTGTCCTTTGGGCTACCGAATTGTGTGAGTGTGTGTGTGTTTGGGCAGCGGAAAGGCTGAGCTGATTATATCCAGGAGTGATGTCAAAACAGTTGTCTGGGAGTGTTTTGGACCGCCGGCAGCCAGCAGAACTGGCAGCAGAGTCGGACAATGAGGAGGTTGGGGAGGAACATGGGCCACTCCTGGGGGCTGAGGAAAGCTCAGACGAGGGTTCTGCCTTGGAGGCAGAGAGGGAGCTAGACAGCTGTGAGGCAGTGGAACAGCTGGAGCCTGCCAGAAGACAAGAACAATTAAGAAAGCAGGGTCGACTTAAGAGTAAAGCCACAGGTGGAAGGTGATTGGCCCCTCCCATAGGAAACAAAAGAGGAGCGAATGGGGAGGGGGATTTTGCAGGAAACATTCATTCATTCATGTCAAGAGTGGAAATTCTGTTTGTGACTATAAGAGACTCTGTGCTAAGGGTTGGCTTGTCCTGCGTTTGGAAACTAGATATCTGGCAGTTCTCCAAGCGAGATAAGGTTCGTGTGGATAAACATTCCTCGGAAAGACTGTTTGCTAAAGCCTTGCTAACTGTGAATGAAAGGAATCCACAGTCGTGTAAATAAAAGGGGTTTTTGCCAGGACCAAAACTCCACTTCTTGCTTGTTAAGGAAGCCTGGGCCAGAAGAGAGAGTTACAAAGTGATGTGACATGATAACGCCGTGTTTTGACGTGTTCCGAGAAATGCCACTGAAATACCGTTATGAAAAACCTCTCTGGGAAGACTCTGTGGCGTGGACGCTTGGGAAATTTACAGACAGGGCATGTCATATTTCATTTTAAACCCCATAAATTGAGAGACATCCAGGAACCTCTTTTTCCCCATGTTTCGGTAAAGGTTTTTTTTTTTTTTTGCGTGCAATTTCTTCTACATGTTAAATCGATAAAAGGCCCTGAAGAGAGAGAGGGGGGGGAAAGGGTTTATAGGAATGGTGGCGGAGAAAGCTAACGGAGAAATTTAATTTAGTGGTCCAAGAGATTTTTTTTTTTTTTTTTGCTCTTCGGATCAATTAAGAACGGTCCTGCTTGCAAAGATTCACTGCACTTAGTCCATGCCTCCAGGAGAATGAAACGGGAGGAATTTTAAACAAGGTTGGGCTGGCGGACCAGAGAAGTAAAAAATCCTTCCAAGGCGGAGGAGGTTTTGGTGCAAAAGTGGGAAAACAG